GGAAGGATAGCCGGAACCCAGCAGGTTGAGGCTGCGGTGGCCGGGAGCGGCCACTGCACTCCAGTCTGGGCGACAGAGTGAGACTCCAACTCAAAAAGAAAAAAAAACACAGAGTAGTATAATGCTTAAAAGTACAAGTGACTGTAGCTAGGTTCTTTGATAATTTAATTACTGAGACTTCTATAACACTTCTAAATTTTATAAGTTTCACCAAAACCAAAGGAAATATACCATTATTATTACATGCACTGTAATACAAGAATAAACAAAAGCTAGGATCTTATTAGGTATCACCTCTCAATACAAATTTAGCTGGGAAATACCAACTCACCATCATTTTATTACAGGTCTCTCTAGTAGGTATGAAGTTGCTTCTTCCAGTTGGATAACTGGCCCTTTTTGTTAAACCACCACTCAGAATACATTAACAACGATTTGAAACACCCAGAAATATGCATTTCAATTCATTAATTTTCCCCCAATTACCTGCCAATCCAAGTTGAGACTTAAAATAAAAGCTGGGTCACTATGAAGTCATTAGATAACTAACTAGTTCAGGGCCAATGGGAGTCAAAAGTAAGCTTAAGTATCACAGGGTGCATCCAAAATAAGCCCAACCAGAGATGTGGCCAATGAAATTCAGAGAAAGTTGGAAATTATAATATTCCCTTCATTTAAGGTTTATGTTAGAAAATTCTGCATAAGACCAGAGAAAACAGAAACTCATAAACACTTTTGTGCAGTGAGTGTGAGGCACAGAGCTGATGGCAGTGAGTTATATTTATCTCTGCCTAGATGACTGTTTCTAAAGCAGTGCCTTGCATAGAGCAGGTATGCAAAGCCCTCAGATAAGTCACACCTGATACACACCACAGCCCTAGTTCTGTTTTGTAAATGAGAAAATTGGCCCAGGAAAATTAAGTGGCTCCACAAGAAGTGACTGAGGCAGTATTCCAACCTGAATCTAACCACACTACATCCCAAGAAGGAGAAACTACTTGTAGCATACATGAACTAATGAACAGACTCTTCATTCATAGAAAATGCAAGTCTGTGCCTTACCTGTGAACCTAACTTCTATCAATAAGAAAAATGAGAGCCGGGCTCGGTGGCTCAGCCTGTAATCCCACGCCTTTGGGAGGCCGAGGTGAGTGGATTGCCTGAGCCCGCAAGTTCGAGACCCGCCTGGGCA